AGAATTCTGGAGTTAATCCTATTTCTCTTCACTCTAGACCTCATGCAGAGAACCAGGAACATACCCTACTAAACCTTTCAACTCTCCTTGTTTGCAAATATAAAAATGTAAGGTTACTTTTGTTTCAATGTAATTAATGTGGAGGGAAGAAATAGATGAAACAACAATAAACACCTGTGAAAATTGGACAAAGGGTACATGGGGATTGATTATACTCTTCTTGATGCTTTCGTATGACTGAAAATTTCCACAATAAAAATTTTTTAATTGCCGGGCTCGGTGGCTCAGTCTGTAATCCCACGCTTTGAGAGGCCGAGGTGAGTGGATCACCTGAGGCCGCAGGTTCAAGACCCGCCTGGGCAACTTGGTGAGACCTCATCTCTACAATAAATCAAAAAATGAGCCGGGCATGGTAGCGCACGCCTGTAGTTCCAGCTACTTGGAAGCCTGAGGCGGAAGGATCGCCAGAGCCCAGCAGGAGGCTGCGGTGGCTGGGAGCAGCTACTGCACTCCAGTCTGGGCCACAGAATGAGACGCCAACTCAAAAAAAAAAAATTTTTTTTTAATTAAAAAAGTCTTTGCCTCCCCACACCCGAACACGAACTACGCCATGTCTAACTCTCTACTGAGCACTACTACCCAAGTGAGGAAACACCAACTGAGAACCTTCAGCGTTTCTCAGTGTGAGGCAGAAAAGTTCTGGAGTGGGAAACTGGAAGCTTCCATCTTGGCTCACTTTAACTGGGAGACCTCATTAACTCCTCTAACTCCTCAGGACCTCGAACTTCCTTAGTTGTTACCACAATAAATCTTTAAAGTTCCTTCCAGGATTAAAATTCTGATTTCAACTTTCTACTAGCTCCTTAAACGCAACACAATTAAAACTAAATTCATCTTTATTCTAAGTTTCTAAGACCAGACCTGTTCTTTCTCCTGACTACCCTATTCTTACGCCCCCTTCCTCTAGTCACCCAACCATAAAAACCACAGCCTCATCTCTGACTTGAGCTATAGAACTGCCTGCTTCCCACCTCATCCTACCCCATCCGATCAGTCACCACATCTCTCCGTCCAGCCTCAAAAATATCTCTTGAATCCATCCCCTCTTTTCCAAGGCCACCAATTCAATTCGGGTCCTTGTCACCCCTCATGTGGACTATTACCATGAACCCAACTAAAGTCCCTGTCTCTAAATTTTCTTTCTTATAATCCATCATACTCATGGTTAGCCTGACATTTAAGACCCTCCAAAACCCAGTTCTAAGCTACTAGCAGCTTCATCTTCCATTATGTCCACTTGTGCATCCCAGGACCCCAGGTAATGTGAAGATGCAGTTTCCTGACACCCAACAAACTTTCAACACAACCCCTTGACTTCCCTCTAAAGTGCCCTCTTCTTCGCATTGCTTCTCATCTTCATGCTGGTGGGATTTGAACGCCACCGCTGCATTTAAAGTGTTCCCTGATACCCCCAAGATGGGCAGTATCACTCCCTCCACTTAATCCCTAAGTACCTTGTATTGGACTCCTTTTACAGCACCTATCAAATTCCTATTCGTCCTTTCATTTTTTGGCACACCTATCTCTCTACCAGATGATTAGTCCCTTTGTCAAAAAGAACAATGTTGTATTCATCCTAAAACCCCTCAGAACAGAGCTTTTCAAAGAGTGCACCATGCACACTGGTATGCCATGAATGAGTTAAAGAGGTCCTGGACAGTGGTGGTCTAGTCTATCTTCCAAGCAGCCACAAAGACACAACAGAAAGTAGAATTCCCAATTGGTCAAGTTTCAAGCAGTCCCTTGCTTTGACCTGGTACATGCCAGGACAATAATTTGAGAACCACTCAGGATACAGCGGTATACAGTGACACACAATGGTCACCCAACAATTACTTGCTAAATTGAATCTTGGAATAATCCATCTGTTTCCCTCCAACCACTATCCCCAAGACCATTTACTATTTAGAATACACTCTCTTATGAACATTTTCACTGAACATGTGATACTTGCCTTACCATCCAAAGCCCACAATAGTTAACTGCATAATACAGCAAGAGATATGAACAAACAATTGACTATGAAGAGGCTCTAACAGTTCAATTCAACATACATAATGCTGAACAAAGGAATGTAAGTGCCACTTTACACTATTAAATTCACAAAAGTTTTTTAAGGAAATAATAGATTTCTGCCCAGCTTACATAATCTGTTAGAAGTACAAACTGGTATAACACCCTTGAAAACAGTACAACAATGTATATCAAGAGTCATAAAAAATTCATTCCCATTAACATAATAATGCTCTGAAATGTATCCTAGAGATACCATTACATAGATTAAAGTGTTAACCAAAAACCAGCCAGCAGCATAAATACCTAACATAAAAAGATTTCGGTAAATTATGGGAACATGATTTGATGAAATTAATTTTTGCTACCTTTAAACATTATAAATTAAAATTGTGAAATCTATAACATGAAAATGCTTTCTGATCTTTAAAACTATAATGAGCCGGGCTCGGTGGCTCAGCCTATAATCCCGCGCCTTTGGGAGGCTGAGGTGAGTGGATTGCCTGAGCCCGCGTGTTCGAGACCCGTCTGGGTGGCGAGACCTCATCTCTACAATAAATCAAAATATCAGCCAGGCATGGTAGCGCATGCCTGTATTTCCGGCTACTTGGAAGATTGAGGCAGAAGGATCGCCGGAGTCCAGCAGGTCGAGGCTGCGGTGGCCAGGAGCAGCCACTGCACTCCAGTCTGAGCGACAGAATGAGACTCTAACTCAAAAAAAAAACAAAAAAACAAAAAAACAAAAAACTATAATGAGGCCGGGCACAGTGGCTCAAGCCTGTAATCCCAGCACTTTGGGAGGCCGAGGAGAAAGGATTGCCTGAGCCCGCGGATTCAAAACCAGCCTGGGCAACATGATGAGATCTTGTCCCTACAATGAAAATCAAAAATTAGCCAGGCATGGTAGCATAGACCTGTAGCTTCGGCTACTTGGATGGCTGAGGCAGAAGGCTCGCCGGAGCCCAGCACATCAACGCTGGGGTGGCCGTGAGCATGCCACTGCACCCAACCTAGGCGACGGAGTGAGACTTCAACTCCAAAAATAAAAAAAGAAACAAAGAATCTCTACAACCATGTGTTACTTTAACAATCAGCAAGTAGCCATGCCCAAGTCTCACTGTAAACCTTAAAAGTATATAGCATTTCACATTAAAGTTTCTCGGATTCTCAAGCCAACTGGCTGACTCAGCAGTGGACTGTGTCAGTTAAAAGGCAGTATGGACTTACAGACAAATCAAAGAACTAGGGACCAGCAGACCTGACTACAGTTAAAAGAAAAAAAATTGAACCAAAAGGAACATAAAGCTAACATAACTCCAGCTTAAACCAGATAGGTAAAAGGAAGCTAGAGATGCTCTTTTAAATCTTACAGAACCAGAACCAAAAAGGCAGGATGCCAAATTATTTTATTAAGAGTTGAAACTTTCTGGAGATGAAGATGCCTATCAAAAGGCAAGTATTGAAAATACATCAGGGCAACCCCTTGGGTCCCCTCCTACTGTGAGAACTTTTCTATCCTCTCAATAAATCCTGCTTTCTTAAAAAAAAAAAGAAAGAAAAGAAAAGAAAATATATCAAAAATAATTTTAGCACTGGCGCCTCACAGGACAATATTGAAAGTTTTTTAACTTTTTTTCTGTAGTATTACAATTTTCTAAGTTTAATAATGAAAGACCAAGATATGATAATGGACCAAAATAAATGACTGCAAGATAATAAATACTCAAGACTAGACTTTTTTTAATTAGTAGGCAATTCAGCAAAAGATAAATAATCTGAAGGCTCAATAGTACAGATGGAGGTGGTGCAACCATTAGGGAAAAAAGTTTAACCTTTTATTTTTATCAAAATGGTCTTAGTATTAAAATCTTCAAAACTGCAGATATATAGTCATTCACGACACTGCATATAGCAAATAACAGGAAAAACAGGCTGGGCACGGTGGCTCAGCCTGTAATCCCAGGACTTTGGGAGGCCGAGGCGGGAGGATTGCCTGAGCCTGGGGGTTCAAGACCAGCCTGGGCAACTAGGTGAGACCTCATCTCTACAATAAATCACAAAAAAACTAGCCAGACATGATAGCATGCATCTGTAGTACCAGCTACTTGGAAGGCTGAGCCAAAGGGATCGCCTGAGCCCAGGTTGAGGCTGCAGTGGCCGTGAGCATGCCACTACACTCCAACCTGGGCAAGAGAGTGAGACTCTGACTCAAAAAAAAACCAGGAAAAACAATTCAATACTTGACCAAGTTCTTCAGAACATAGAATGACTACCACTCAATAATGCTGACACAAAAACTGAAGGACCTCTCAAGTTCCAGTTGCATATAGACAAGCAGTCCCTGTGCAGTTACTTATTCTGAACAGAAGTGGAAGATTAACCTACCCTTACATCTCTCCAAACAAACTAGTCCAACAAGACAGCAGGTAAGTTTCTTCCAAGTTTGTTCATCATCCAATCTATTTTAGAAATAGCCAAAGCTGGGCTCGGTGGCTCAGCCTGTAATCCTGCGTCTTTGGGAGGCTGAGGTGAGTGGACTGCCTGAGCCCGCAGGTTCGAGACCCGCCTGGGCAGGCGAGACCTCATCTCTACAATAAATCAAAAAATTAGCCGGGCGTGGTAGGGCACACCTGCAGTTCCAACTACTTGGAAGGCTGAGGCGGAAGGATCGCCGGAGCCCAGCAGGTCGAGGTTGCACTCCAGTCTGGGTGACAGTTGAGACTCCAACTCAAAAAAAAAAAAAAAAAAAAAAGTAGTAGCCAATTCAGTCAGGACCCACACTATTTACTATGGTCCTACATCACTTCGCCCTGTCCCACCTCATCCTCTTAGGCCACACATTCTAGTCTAGATTAAGAGTCTCTGTCTCCCTTTCAGTCATTACCAAGTTCTTGCTTCTAAATAAGGATCTCCTAAACCTTACTCACCTGCAGTTCACTGCACTGGGTATCACCCAAATAGCCCATCAGAGCTCTTTATAATTTCTGAAAGATAGAGAAGGAAGTTTTTAATACACAGTGGAAAACACTATTCACTGATGTATCAGTTCTGAAGCATTTGTATTCAATAGTCACAGCATATGGTTTTTTGGTCCACAGCCGTTCAATAAAATGCAGCACAACCAGCACTGGACCGAGAGTCCTGAGACAAGCATCCAGAGATAAAAAACTTGGTTTAATGTTGCTACCACTGAGCTGTGTGACCAAGGGCAAGTCACTTCATTTCTCCAGGACTAAATTTCCTTGTCTGGAAAATAAGTCACTCAGACTAGCTGGAGACAGCAGAACACAGGCTTTCCAGCCGCCCCTACTTTACTGGTCTTGTGATGTGAAGTTACTTAGTTTACATTTAGGCCTAAATTTCCTGCCTTGCCTGTGAGTTGTTATGAGAAAGAAGATGATTCGCTGGAAAAAGCCTGCAGATACTGTGCAGCTCATCATAAAATCCAACAGATGGCAATTCGTTACCACCATTACCTCCCGAGTCCTAAGACTGCACAAAGTCAGCTCACAAATTTCTGCCTAAATGACCAACAAATCAAAACTTAACCAACCTGAAAACAGAATTAACTATTTTAGGGTTAAACTCACAATTCAATTAGTTATCTTAAAAGGATAATTAAGAGTATCACTATTGGGTACCTACATAATCAACGTTTGTAGACCTAACCCTGAATTGTACCCCACATCTATATAATAAAAAAAAGAGTATCACCATTAATTAACATCACAGAAAATAACAACAGACTAGTCCCTACACAAGATCCAAACTCTGATTCAATGAACATGCCTTTCCTGACTTCTCATTCTACTTTCACTGCTGCCATAATATCTCAGGACAAGAGAGGTATTCTAAAAGCTAAGGGACACCCGGCTGTTGACACCAGTCAGTTCAAGGAAGGAGGATTTGAGATGGAGGAACAAGAGCAGAGGCCTTTCTTTTTTTTAACTTTACATACATAGTACTGCTCAAATTTGTTTACCATAAGCATGCATGAGTTTTGCATAAAAGTAAATAATTTTTTTTAATTAGTTAACTAAATTGCATACTGACAGGAAGCTTACATTACAGGAATATTTTCACCACAAGAATTTCTGCAGAAGAAAGCAAAAAGGCAAATTCAGAATGTGCCAAAAACACCTAAAATATGGCACTGAAATAATAACAATCACAAGCCTTCACACTTCACAATGGTTTGGTTAAAAAAAATACATTCTCTGAAGAATCTGATGATAAATCAGGTTCTTCTTTGTTCAAAAGCATGATTAATGTATAAATTCTGGTTTTATCAGACAACTTCCTGCTCTTACTTGGAGAAACTGACCCAGTACAATTTACAAGAGTAAACAAGTTGGTATAACTGTTGGTATTAAGTTGAAAAACTCTCCAAGCCTGGCGCAGTGGCTCACACCTGTCATCCCAGCACTTTGGGAGGCCAAGGCGAGAGGATTGCCTGAGTCCGCGGGTTCGAGACCAGCCTGGACAACATGGTGAGACCTCATCTCTACAATAAATCAAAAAATTAGCTGGGCATGGTGGCGCATGCCTATAGTTTGCAGGTTGAGGCTGCAATGGCCGTGAGCATGACACTGCACTCTAGCCTGGGTGACAGAGTGAGAGACTCCAACTCTGAAAAAAAAAGGAAGAAAACTTTCCATATCTTATGGCCATTGAAAGATTAACAAAATAAGTGTTATACTGTGTTCATAAATAAAAAGTCTTCATGTCTCTTTACTTATTAATCGACATCTATCATACAGTCTTTTAAAAAGAGGAATATTGGCCGGGCTCGGTGGCTCAGCCTATAATCCCAGCACTTTGGGAGGCCGAGGTGAGTGGATTGCCTGAGCCCGCGGGTTCGAGACCCGCCTGGGCAACTTGGCAAGACCTCATCTCTACAATAAATCAAAAATTAGCTGGGCGTGGTAGCACGCGCCTGTAGTTCCAGCTACTTGGAAGGCTGAGGCGGAAGGATCGCCGGAGCCCAGCAGGTCGAGGCTGCAGTGGCTGGGAGCGGCCACTGTACTCCAGTCTGGGCGACAGAGTGAGACTCCAACTCAAAAAAAAATAAAAATAAAAAGAGTAATATTGGCTGGGCAAAGTGGCTCAGCCTGTAATCCCAGCACTTTAAGAGGCCGAGGTAAGAGGTCTGCCTGAGCCTGGGGGGGTTCGAGACCAGCCTGGGCAACTTAGTGAGACCGTGTCTCTACAATAATCACAAAAATACTAGCCGGGCGTGATGGCTTGTGTCTTTAGTTCCAGCTACTTCGAAGACTGAGGCAGAAGGACTGCCTAAGTCCAGCAGGTTAAGGCTGTGGTGGCCGTGAGCGTGCCACTGCACTCCAGCCTGGGCGACAAGAGTGAGACTCCAACTCAAAAAAGAGAAATATTAACGCTATTAGATTTAGGATTAATCAGAAGTAATATCTCAGCCACCTCTGAAGTGATACAACCACTATGTTTTATGCCTCCTTTAGCCAGTGCCACAGAAGTAATTCTGACTACACCTATCAGCTGAGATAAACCATAAGCTGGCATGGTCACACTCTACACATATCACACTTCTCTTCTAGAAAACATTTCAAAATATTACTTAGAAATCCAACCATATTTGCATGTACATTTACCTGAACTTATGAAAATAAACCCTAACAACTTGCTTATAATTTTTTAAGTAGTTCCTCTCCCTTTCTTGGATAACTACTATTGGTAAACTTGGCCCAAAACCTTCTATACATTTGAAACAACAGGCAAAGGTCCTTATTTCTTGTATTGGGCCTGTACTTGGATCTTAAATGTAGTGTGACACGTAATTATAGACTAAAATGCATTCAATATTAATACCTATGCATGTGTACCCCCTGAATCTGAAATTAAAAATTAATATATACATTATATATCAAGTTAAAAATATATATATATAATACCAAACCTACTGTTTAAACAGAGAACACAGATGCATTTATAAGACCTGGTCTACTTACCTGTAGGTCCCTCTGCATTGTTCTTTTCCTTTCATGAATATGCTGTAGATTTTTAAATTACACAAAGCCCTTCATAAGGAAGAACGATTTATCCTGTTACTTTGGCATCACTCCCTCTCCAGTGAAAACTGGACGTCTGTAAATGTATACAGACTTTAAGACAATGTATTTGAATATTTAAGGTATTAGAAAAGGAAGCTCCTTCTAACATTTGCAAAACTCAAGTTTATCAGCAGACAGAGAGGTACTTACTAACTCCAAAATACTATAGCCTTACCTAAAAATACTGTCCTAGCTTCCCAGCCAAAAGGACAGACTAAAAAAGCTATGTCTTTATTCAGCTCAAAGACACAGACTTCTACTTCACCACAACCTTTAATACTTCGGTATTGCTCATTTTAGAATAATTTATGTAACAAGTTGTTTGGTGGCCAACCAGAACCTCACTTTAGAATAAATACTAGCATTTGACATAGTCTACATGTGTGAAAACTGTGGAAAATGTTTTGACACAATTCAAGTCAAACAATACCTAGCCACACAAGATTACCTGCTTCTAAATATTCAATTTTAGAGTAAAATGAATATCTCCAAAGACAAAAAGCAGATCATTGGCTCCTTTCCACAAAATTATCTGTGGGTTTCAAAAACAAAAACAAAACAAAACAAGACATTGGAGTCCAGTAACTCTGGTCAAAATTTAAAATAATTTTTTTTTTAAAAAAAGACAAGAAGTTCAAATTGGGAGGCCTGAGACATAAATATGCCTCTATCTGCAAACTGAAAATACATTTTAAAAATCCCTATTTGCTTTGCCAAAAATAAAAACTATGTGTAATATACATGTAATTTTCAAACACAAGCAAACATACACTTACAAAAAAAATCTTGGCTTATGAGCACCTTCCTTTCCCAAGTTTTTAGTTTAGTTTTTTGTTTGTTTTTTTTTTTAAAAAGGCAAAATGTCAATTATACACCACAACCTAGAAAAAATATCAAGCACAGCTTATTCTTCTTAAACAGATATTGTGATAGATATGAAAAGTCTGTGAGAAGATTTCAAAATTCAAAGGTCCAGATGTGTTAAAGGAAAAAAATACACCAATCACCAATCACCCATAATTACTTACATTTTTTGGGGGAAAAAAAAAAAACTTCTATTAAAAACATTTTTGAAAAAAAAAAAAACATTTTTGAAGTTGAGAAAACTGCTTGTAAAAAATGTAAAATTAGCAAATGTTTCCTCTCCCTAGCATAGAATACTAACTGTTCACTAACACTGTATCAATAATATCCTTTAGAGTCAAAGCATACAGTTAGGTTAAATAAAACAACACTCTGAATTCACATACCACATATGGACAGAAAATAATGACAAACTAGTGTTATCCCTAATAAGCTAAGCAGATCTCAACACGATCATTTTTATTTCAAAATAATTTTCAGAGAGACAAGTACTACTCCATTTTTCAAAAAATAAATCAGGAGTAATTGACTTGCCTAATTTATTTCCAATGGAAAGGGTGTACTTTACAAGAGTCCCACAGATTGTGGACCCACAAAATCCATATACACAATCACTAATACTAAACATAGAGTAGGCGATACACACCAAAACACAGATGAAATTAAGACATCCAATTAAGGTTACACAAGGACATTTGAATAAGCAAACTCTAATTACCCCTGCTGAAGATACTGATCGAGAATAGCTGCAAATAACATTTGGCTCTGGGTAAGTTCCGCTATGTTTGAGCGAGAAGCCACTGGAAAGATTGGTACATTTGACATTTTTTTCCTTTCTAAAGCTAGCCCGGCCCGTGCATACATCTGACTAAGTGATACATTTGGAAAATAAAGATGGGCCCATCAAATTACTGTTTCAGCCTTATTCTTATGAGCTCATTACAATAAAGAAGGAAAAAAGGTGAATTATTCTTAACTACAGTCTCACCTTACACATCTCACCAGCCCAGGAGTTCCTTAGTGATCAAGAACTTCATCCAATTCCTGAGGCAAACAGAAAAATAAGACGTGTCTATACAGCACAACTCCCAGTGAGGCACTATCAGCAGCAAACATTTTATCAGCCTGAAGTGAAAGGGCATCCACATTTCAAATGGAAAAAAGTTACAAAAACGGTACAGTATGCAGCTCTGCAAATCAGTCTCTGTCCTAAATGTTAAAACATTTCCTTTCAGCGAGATGAAAGAAGACATTATAAAACGCTCTTGAAATGAAAAAACAAAACAAAGTCATTTTTTTCAATCCTGGCGGGCTTTACTTCCGAAAGGAGAAGAAACCTCGCCGACACGAGCGTAGGAGAGGGCAGGACGAGGAGCAAACGAGGCTCCCGTCTGCAGAAACCCACTGTCCCCGGAGTCACACTTTTGTCTCTCGGGCGAATGACCTGCCTGAAAAGTGTAACTCGTGGGGGAGAAGGGAGGACAATTTCGGAGCTGCAAACAACCCCAGTCCAGGCAGAACCGGGAGGCCCGGGCCTCCCGCCCCGCCGAGCGAGGGTGCGGGCGGCACAAAGGGCGTGGGGGCAGGGGTCGGGCCCCGGCGGGACCGCAGCCCCGACGCCGGCAGGGGCCGGGCGCTCTCGGGGACGCTCCGGGACGGAAGGCCCGTCTCGGGCGCTGCGGATGCGCCT